TGGGTACCCCGTTTGAAGAACGGGTTCAAAAGAATCGTTCGTCAAGTCAGTGCGGGTCCAGTACGCACCGCATGTGAACGGAAGTCTCACTTGTTTATAATGGCCTCTTAGAAGAAGTCCTTTCTTAAAATTAGATCTAAACGCAACTAATGAAAAACTGAAAATTAAACTACACTGACTTCAGATTCCTTAATATAAGAGTGCACCTTTTAAATGATTCCGAACCACCGTTAAATTTGTCTAATGCTAATTCAAAAGTTAAGTGATTCGAAAGTTTTAGGCGACCAAAGTGAAGAACGTTCACAATAATAATAGATGCCACCTTTCTTAGAACTCCCGATGGAGAGAAAAAGTTTCGTGTCGTCAAATCGCTGCCTTTAAGACTTACAATTTTCTATCTTCTCAGTCCCTAGTTTTGAGAAATTTGACGTAAAAAATGTTGAGTTTCACAACAGGTCAAGCTTTTTCAAATTCAATTTTTGAATATCTTTATAATGACTCCGAATAAACTTATGATTTTGATAGAGGAGATAGAATATTTGGTTTCTAACCCATTCGTCTTAGTAACTCAAAACAGACAAAAATGCCTATGGAACTTTGTAATTTTTAATCTAAGCTATCGAAATAATTTAGTTTCACAAGCGTAGGTTTTAACTTCAAGAATTGTTATATAAATATCTCTGCCCTTTTTGTCCAGTCTTACAGTTCTTTTTTTTTCAGGGAGACGTTTATGAATTTGGTACGATTCGCTGCGTGCGCCTGGTTTGCTATGTGTGCCTTAAAAATACGTTGTTAATCTATGGGGAAAAAGAATAAGATAATCATATATTCAAGCTGTAATTTTCATGTGCTCACGCTGACATGCAAGACGCGTACTTCTTCTTTCACTTAAAAGTAAAAGAAATACTGAAAATTGTCATTATTTCCGGTGTTCTAACAAAAACAAAATAAGACGAATATCTGAAGGACCTGTCAAGGAAAAAACTGTCACGTGACGCTATCACGCAATTTCCTTCACTGTTTATGATTTGGCAATGTCTGAGTTGCGTCTCTGGCTCCAGAAATCGATGGGCAGTTTGAATTGTTTTGCTGTGTTCGCCCAAACGTGCTGACCTTTGGCTGACGGTCTCAACACGGCTCAATTCAGCCACTGAGTCTTCGTGCGTGAGCGCTCGGCGATAAACATGATAGAGCGTATGAGTGTCCCAGAAAGAAAAATGTTAAATGAAAGAAGAAGAAGAAGAAGAAGAAGAAGAAGAAGAAGAAGAAGAAGAAGAAGAA